AGTTCATAAATTGACAATAAGATTTACAATGAGCAACTGACCTATAACTTCATAGACGATGATTCGTAGCATCCTCACATAACATTATCTCGACTTTTTTAGGCATGATAACATTGTGTGAAAACGAGGTTAGAGAAACAGAGAATCAAATATTCTCCGGGTGAGCAAGTTGCCATTACTGCTGCTTGGATACCGCAAGTAGTACCTCCAACCAGAAACCATGTCTCTGATGCTCCAAAAAGACTGGCAGCTTGCTTTTGTGCCTCTAAAATTGGTCCATCTGGTGAAAAGAGGTTGTCAAGCTCAGGGAGCTCAGGTAAATCATGAATAAATGGTCTTACACCAATGAGCTGGGTCAACGAAGATGGTGCAGCGCGTCCTCTGTTATGCCCAGGAAAGTGAAAACTTGCCACGTCTTGCTTGGCTGAAGCTTTCAGTGCACTAACTAATGGAGGAAGGCTATCTGGCTGCACAATCTGAGAGTTGGACACAAGAATTTTATCCTCCATACACGACTTGGAAATTTCTGTCCCATATCTTCTATCTTGCTTCGTCTCTGGCTCCAAGAATCCCCTTTCCTGTTACGTTTTCCCAAAATTAGCAGATGCACATTTGTTGTACGTGCTGACAAATGCCATAAGGCTCTCATTTTACTTCGGGTTTCATAGTGATAAGGAAAGGCGATGCGGCCACACATTCACCAATGTGACAATACCTAGCATTAGCACCTATAATATTAGTCATCTTAACAGCCTTCTTATCATTAACCCAATAACAACTTTGATAAAAAGAAATCCCTAAATCCCCTACCGAATTACTTGATAAACTAAAGAATTTAGCATTTAAATCAAATCGAATTAACCACATGATTTAAACGCCAAAAACAAAAGTTGAAAATAATCAAAAGCCTCCATTCTAACACTAACACATGACTTCAAATCAATCAAACAACAACATCACACCTTACATTTCTTAATTTTATCACACATCAATCATACGAATATATAATTCACAACCCAAAAATCTAACTAAAACAAGGCAAGCGACATCGAATCTACAACAATGATTAAAAAAAAAAGAATAATATCGTAATAATAGAAATAATTACTTTAGCGGCACTGAGAGCTTCTTGGGATTTTTCAAGGGTGAAATTATTCTTGTTGAGTTTAATAGAGTCCATCATTTTCACAGTACGACGAGACGGCCTAGAAGAAGAAGTTATCTGACTCAGCTTTGACGAATATGAAAGCTCCAACACAACTCCTACAGCTGTAATTGTAGCAGCCATGTTTAAGATAGTCTCTCACTCGCCAGTTCAAAATGTTGTTTCGAGTTCGAGAAGTAGAAGATAAGAAGGGTGTCTACATTTGTAAGAGGCACACCGCTCCACTCTGGCTTTAAAGGGCAACTGATTTTTACCAAGATTTTGGCGTGAAATGATCTTTAGTGTTATTACCTTCCACCCCTAAAGTTTGAGTTTTTATGTTACACCCCAAATATATAATAAATTTTCTCAGTACCCTCCCATTTCGGAAATTGTCACATGTCTTTCACGGTCTTGTAACCCTTAATAAAGGCCTTATATAAATGGTAAAAAAAAAAAAAAAAAAACAAATTAAATGTTATCCCCTATTAAAATTAATATTTAACGTTTTATAAAAATGACCGGGAACTCCTTAGATGAAGAGAGTATAACAAAAAAATAAATTAATTAAAAAAGAGAGACAACAAGGGTGATAAATAAGATGTTGTTAGCAATGCACGATCACTAGGTGGCATCATTTAATATTATTCTGAGTAGTATTTGATTTTGTTTAATGATGCCAACTTTGTTAAATGCAACAGTTTTAGGTTTATTTTTATTGGTTTAAGTCATTAATAAATCAATTCGTTTATAATTCAATTTATAATGAGTAGCATTGAGTTTCGTTTTATACATCACTTGGTCCATTTGATTAATTTGATTCTTTCATTAAATATATTTTTTATTAATTTTAGTTTAAAATTTATTAAAAGAGCATAATAAATAAGATGAATTTTTTTTCCATTTATTTCATTTTTTAAGATTTTAACATAGTCACTCTAATGTCATTGTTCTATAGCAAAAAAGTCTCACTCTCTCAAATCCCAAGTTCCTGTCATGAGGAGAGCTAGCCACCATCGCGCTTGGCCATTGGCTACGCTTCTCTTTGCCACGTGGCTGAGATTGTTTTCTATGCTATAAATAAGTTTTCTCAACCTGAAATTTTTAATTCACACGAAATTTATAAACTTTTTCTTTTACACCCAGCAATCTTTATAACCTTTCTTAATCACCCCAAACAGATTTTAATCAAAATTCTGCTTTTACCAGCAAAACCTCCACCGTCAAATTTCATCACCCAAATCCAATAAAATCTAACTTAAAAAATTTAGCAATCTCATTAATCTAACCTTCAAAATTTAATCAGCAATCTCATATATCTAAACTCCAAAATCTAATACCTAAATTTCATTAAATCTAAAATCTTAAAAAAGAAAAATCCAAAAACATAGAAAAAGAAACTATGATGCCGCATCGGAGGTTGTTGGCAACCAAATTTGGCCGCCATGTTTGGGCTCCATGTGACGGCCTAAATTTGGCTACTGCAAGGCTCTAGATAAAGGAAGAGAACGAGAGAGAAACCAAAGAAACAAATGAATAGTATAAGGGTGTGTAAAAGAATTGGTCGAAATCAGAATCGATGGGTATCCGAGTCCTAGTTTCAGTTTTTATCTAAAACCAGCCCTCACAAGGAAGGTTTTGTTTCTAAAAATCAGGGACCGACACTGTGCAGGTCTGGTCGGTCCCTGGTTTTGCTCCATCACCTCAGGAACTGGAATCGGACCCTAGAATCAGGACTAAATTGAAATATTATAAAATGATGGAACCAAGACGGACCCTGAAATCAGGACTAAATTAAAATGTTATAAAAATATAGGGACCATCTAAAAATTTTATAATTCAATTAAAATTTTACCTGATTTCTTCTAGAATTTTTTCTTGTTTTAAAATTATTTGAATCAAGCACTAGTAATGGAATGATTTCCAATGTCAACTTGTTGTTATGAGGAAGGAAAATAAACTTTCTAATTTCATGTACATGGGAAGCGGTTAGATTGTTCAAAGTCTAATTAACCGTCTAATTTGAAATACAAAGAACCTCAACCTCAATCCCCATCAATATCTTCGAAAACACATGAGGCTTAAAAGTTGTTCCTCTTCTAGGAGTTCAATTTCAGTAACACCCTTTCCTTTAATTTAAGAGAAACCCAAATCTTCATCATTCATACCAAAAATCAATTTGGCATAAAAAATCTTCATTATTCATATAAAAATCAACAAAACATAAAAAAAAATCAATTTGGCTATTTTTTCTTTTTTATCAAAAAATCAGCGAAGCATTAAAAAATAAATCTGACACAGATCCTCTTTTGATTAATGCGGAAACGAAGAAGGAAAATGTGCCTACATATTTTGTTCAACACAGAAACAATGAGAACAAAGAAATGTGTACACATTCACGGGATATTACAACATGTGCAAACCAATGAATGAATTTACAATTATGTTAATATTAAAAAAATACGTACATAAAGTTCATAAATTGACAATAAGACTTTACAATGAGCAACTGACCTCATAACTTCATAGACGATGATTCGTAGCACTCCTCATCATAACATTATCTCGTTACTTTTTTAGGCATGATAACATTGTGTGAAAACGAGGTTAGAAACATTTTTTTTTTTTTTGAAATTAGATATTAGAGTAATTTGTAATGCCATGTATTTAATTGGAATTTTTTTTTTTTTTTTTTTTTTTTAACTTTAGTGAAATAATACAATTTTAATGTACTTTATTTGTATTTTGGTATAATATGATTATGAAGTTTTTTATGCATTCTAATATTTATATGTTATTAGTAATCTTTTGGCATTATTAAAATCTAGGAAATTAAAGCAATAGTTCGGCAACAATTGAAAGTTAAATGATTACAAAAGTGGCCATCAATATGGTTTAGAATCCTAATACAAATTGATCTATAAGAGTTAAAAATGGAATGTTTTAATGGTTTGGGCCGAGATCAAGTAAAAGTAACGTTTGGGTCTGGGTTTTGCTACTTAGACCCACCCACCAAACTAACAGATTTGGTTCATTCTAAAAAGATTTAGTAGGACACAAAATTATTTCAACACAATCTATTTTTTGGTCTCAGTGCATTAACCATTTTGACTAATGTTATGGCCATCGAAGTAGTGTATCGAATTTATGCACTGAATAATATGATAAAATCATAACCGTTGATTAATTTTAATTTAATATTAATCGACGGTCATGATTTTGTCACGTCATTCGATGCATAAATTCGGTATATAACCTTCGATGACTGTATCTTTTTCGAACCATTTTTTAGGCACTATTTTAGTTAGAGATTACAAGGGTCAAGTTTTTCGAAGGTTACCACCAAATATATAATAAATTTTCTCAGTACCCTCCCATTTCAGAAATTGTCACATGTCTTTCACGGTCTTGTAACCCTTAATAAAGGCCTTATATAAATGGTAAAAAAAAAAAAAAAAACAAATAAATGTTATCCTATTAAAATTAATATTTAACGTTTTATAAAGATGACGGAACTCCTTAGATGAAGAGAGTATACAAAAAAATAATAATTAAAAAAGAGAGAAAAGGGTGATAAATAAGATGTTGTTAGAATGCACGTCACTAGGTGGCATCATTTATATTTTCTGAGTAGTATTATTTTGTTTAATGATGCCAACTTGTTAAATGCAACGTTTAGGTTTATTTTATTGGTTTAAGTCATTAATAAATCAATCGTTTATAATTCATTTATAATAGCAGTAGCTGAGTTTCGTTTTATACATCACTTGGTCATTTGATTAATTTGATTCTTTCATTAAAATATTTTTATTAATTTTAGTTTAAAATTTATTAAAAGAGCATAAAAATAAGATGAATATCAGCAAACGGTGCCAAACCACTATGCTCTACCCTCTTCTCAACCTTCTCAACAGACAAGGAAGTTGCTGATACATGTTGTAGCCCTGACACAAGCCTGTGAATATGCTTCCGACAAGTTCCAAGGTTAATTGCAAAGGTAATGGATTGGGTCCCAACAAGTTCACAAATGACCATCTGATCCCCATATAAAATTTCATCTGCTTCATACCCAGATAAGCCAAGCTGCCTAAAACCAAAAGTGAGACGCAAGGGATCCATCATAGGAAATTTAGGGAAGCTTGATGACTCGAGCATTGAAATACCAGGGATGTTTTTTACATGATTTTTGGTTTCAACAGCCAACTCCATTGCTTTGTTGAATATGGTTTCTGGATTTTCATTAAGTTGGGCTCTAGCAGCATCTAATGATGCTAAAAGCAGATAACTAGGGCTTGTACTTTGAAGGGTTTGAAGGCACCTACATATCCTTTCTCTATCTACAATATCCCCTGACATGTGTAACATAGATGACTGCGTAAGAGAGCATAAGACTTTGTGAGTCGATTGTACAGCAAGATCAGCACCCTGCTGAAGGGCAGAAAAAGGCATATGGTGATGAAATCCGAAATGTGCTCCATGAGCCTCATCAACGATTAAAGGAATTCCATGATAATGACATAGCTGAGATATCTCATTCAAGTTACTGCATATACCATGATATGTGGGGGAAGTGACAAAAACCGCAGATGCTTTTTGCCCTTCTTTCTTTAATTCCTTGATTGCTTTCTCTACCTGTAATAACATCAATCTGAAGTCAACTGTGAGTTTTCTCTTATTAAATCTAAAAATGTTTAATTGTAGCAGTTTGATAAATAGAACTACTTTGATGATCATTACATTAAATTTCCAAAATTCTTTTGTTCTGGTGAGAAACTGTTTCAAAAAGGGAAAACTTAATAACAGTAGACCGGTTTAACAAGACTAATAGATGCACCAACTCTTAAAATCAGTATTCTAGACTTGCCTGTGATGGAATGACACCCCCAGCTATGTCCCAATCACTACTATACTCAGGGATGATATACTTAGGTATTGTGTCTGACAACACCATAGCAGAAATGGCTGATACATGAGAATTTCGAGGGAGAATCAAATATTCTCCGGGTGAGCAAGTTGCCATTACTGCTGCTTGGATACCGCAAGTAGTACCTCCAACCAGAAACCATGTCTCTGATGCTCCAAAAAGACTGGCAGCTTGCTTTTGTGCCTCTAAAATTGGTCCATCTGGTGAAAAGAGGTTGTCAAGCTCAGGGAGCTCAGGTAAATCATGAATAAATGGTCTTACACCAATGAGCTGGGTCAACGAAGGTGGTGCAGCGCGTCCTCTGTTATGCCCAGGAAAGTGAAAACTTGCCACATCTTGCTTGGCTGAAGCTTTCAGTGCACTAACTAATGGAGGAAGGCTATCTGGCTGCACAATCTGAGAGTTGGACACAAGAATTTTATCCTCCATACACGACTTGGAAATTTCTGTCCCATATCTTCTATCTTGCTTCGTCTCTGGCTCCAAGAATCCCCTTTCCTGTTACGTTTTCCCAAAATTAGCAGATGCACATTTGTTGTACGTGCTGACAAATGCCATAAGGCTCTCATTTTACTTCGGGTTTCATAGTGATAAGGAAAGGCGATGCGGCCACACATTCACCAATGTGACAATACCTAGCATTAGCACCTATAATATTAGTCATCTTAACAGCCTTCTTATCATTAACCCAATAACAACTTTGATAAAAAGAAATCCCTAAATCCCCTACCGAATTACTTGATAAACTAAAGAATTTAGCATTTAAATCAAATCGAATTAACCACATGATTTAAACGCCAAAAACAAAAGTTGAAAATAATCAAAAGCCTCCATTCTAACACTAACACATGACTTCAAATCAATCAAACAACAACATCACACCTTACATTTCTTAATTTTATCACACATCAATCATACGAATATATAATTCACAACCCAAAAATCTAACTAAAACAAGGCAAGCGACATCGAATCTACAACAATGATTAAAAAAAAAGAATAATATCGTAATAATAGAAATAATTACTTTAGCGGCACTGAGAGCTTCTTGGGATTTTTCAAGGGTGAAATTATTCTTGTTGTGTTTAATAGAGTCCATCATTTTCACAGTACGACGAGACGGCCTAGAAGAAGAAGAAGAAGTTATCTGACTCAGCTTTGACGAATATGAAAGCTCCAACACAACTCCTACAGCTGTAATTGTAGCAGCCATGTTTAAGATAGTCTCTCACTCGCCAGTTTCAAAATGTTGTTTCGAGTTCGACAAATAGAAGATAAGAAGTTTGTCTACATTTGTAAGAGGCACACCGCTCCACTCGCACTTTAAAGGGAAATTGATTTTTACCAAGATTTTGGCGTGAAATGATCTTTAGTGTTATTACCTTACCACCCCTAAAGTTTGAGTTTTTATGTCACACCCCAAATGTATAATAATTTTCTCAGTACCCTCCCATTTCAGAAATTGTCACATGTCTTTCACGGTCTTGTAACCCTTAATAAAGGCCCCTATATAAATGGTAAAAAAAAAAAACAAATTAAATGTTATCCCCTATTAAAATTAATATTTAACGTTTTATAAAGATGATTGGGAACTCCTTAGATGTTGCTAAAGAGAGATAATAAGGGTGATAAATAAGATGTTGCTAGCAATGCATGATCACTAGGTAGCATCATTTAATATTATTCGGAGTAGTATTTAATTTTGTTTAATGATGCCAACTTTGTTAAATGCAACGGTTTTAGGTTTATTTTTATTGGTTTAAGTCATTAATAAATCAACTCGTTTATAATTCAATTTATAATGAGTAGCATTGAGTTTCGTTTTATACATCACTTGGTACATTTGATTAATTTGATTCTTTCATTAAATATTTTTTTTATTAATTTTAGTTTAAAATTTATTAAAAGAGCATAAAAAATTAGATGGATATTTTTTTCATTTATTTATTTTTTAAAGATTTTAACATAGTCACTCTAATGTCATTATTCTATAGCAAAAAAGTCTCACTTTTTCAAATCCCAAGTTCCTATCATGAGGAGAGCTAGCCACTAGCCACCATCGCGCTGGGCCAGTGGCTAGGCTTCTCTTTATAAACCTTTCTAATCACTCCAAACAGATTTTAATCGAAATTCTGCTTTTACCAGCAAAACCTCCACCATCAAATTTCATCACCCAAATCCAATAAAATCTAACTTAAAAAATTCAGCAATCTCATTAATCTAACCTTCAAAATTTTATTAGCAATCTCATCTATCTAAATTCCAAAATGTAATACCTAAATTTCATTAAATCTAAAATCTTAAAAAAGAAAAATCCAAAAACATAGAAAAAGGAAATATGTTACTGCAATGGAGGTCGTTGGCAACCAAATTTGGCCGTCACGTTTGGGCTACATGTGACGACCTAAATCTGGCCATTGCAAGGCTCTAGATAAAGGAATAGAATGAGGGAGAAACCAAAGAAATAAATGAATAGTATAGGGGTGTGTAAAAGAATTGGTCGGAATCAGAACCGACGGGTATTCGAGTTCTGGTTTCAGTTTTTATCCGGAACTAGCCCTCACAAGGTAGGTTTTGGTTCTAAAAATTAGGAACCGATACTATGCAGGTCTGGTTTTGCTCCATCACCTCAGGAACCGGAATCGGGACTAAATTGAAATATTATAAAATGATGGAACCAAAACAGACCCTGAAATCAGGACTAAATAAAATATTATAAAAATATAGGGACCATTTAAAAATGTTATGATTCAATTGAAATTTTACCTGATTTCTTCTAGAATTTTTTCTTGTTTTAAAATTATTTGAATCAAGCACTAGTAATGGAATGATTTCCAAAATAGTTCAATTAACGAATGAATTGTCAACTTGTTGTGATGAGGAAGGAAGATAAAATATTCATTTTTTTCTAAAGTATTTAGAAGTGAAAACAAACAGTGCAAAGCATAGTAAAAATGAAGTTTTTAAATGAAAAAAAAAACTGCAAAGGCAAACTTGGTGGGGTCGTTGCTCGACCCCTTAAGGTTTAATAAATAACAAAACTGTCCCTAAGATTTCAAAAATAACATGAATCCCCTAACTGTTGGTGAGCTGTTAGTGTAATGTTAGAATTTACAATATGATGAGTGCCTTTTATTTTAATAAGTTAACAATAGAGGGATTTTTGTTATTACTATAACTACAGGGAGATTTTAAATATTTGATTATACTTTAGGGGAATTATTGTTATGAACCCAAATTTTTTCATAAAAAATCATCTTGTATATACATTATAATGTTTTGGTAAAAGAATATTCTTTGGAGATTATGTTTCCTATATTAAATGGATTCTAAATTAATAAGGAGATATGATTAAGAAGATAGGATATTTAAAAGAATTAAAGAGATAATTAACTGATTTATCATATAATATATCTTTTAATAACCTAATCCTTTTAGGATTCCTTACTTTATCGAACTCCTTATTAAAGACAATAATATTAAAAGATACTTCATTATGATAAAAGATTTCTACAGGATGTATTATTTTAGCTTTTAATGAGAATATTAATTGAAAGAGGAAAGAGATAATCTTAGGAGGAAACCAAATGTCTACGATGTGATATCAATCCCTTAAAAAGGATACGTGCTTTCCTAATTCGCTGCCTTGGAAGGATTTTAGGGCTACAAAGAAACCTAACATGATAAGGTCACAGATGCCGCTATATAAGCTTGAACACTCTTATAAGCTTTTCATATGAGTGCCTGACTAGAGTGTCAGAGTGCTAGGAGTAACTCTAAACCAAAGGAAAGACATAAGAGGGATTTTCACCTTGAATGAGATTCTGCATCAACACGTCATATTTTACATTAAAAAATATTGAAAATAGATTAAGCAATTTATTTTTCAGAATATAAGTTTTTAAGTTTCATTAACATTAAATAAAAGTAAAATCTCTAAATTTTGGTGTCATCCTCGATAGGCTCTCTTCAACCACCAATAACATTATTGATTAATAAGTGTATTATTTGAAATTACAAAATAGTTGGCATCCTATAATTTTATGGGTCTATTCATGAAATGATAGTAAGATTAATCAAGAATATGTTGGCACTTTTTACATCAACAAAATGATTTCATATTTAAAGAGAACATCAAAACATGCAAGTTTGCAAGATATGTAAATATAATCCAATTAACTATTTCATGATCAAATCACTTAGGGAGATGATCTACAACAAAATAGTAGCAGGATGTTATCCACAACTCAATAATATAGAACCATCTACGACGCCAATAAGGGTTTATGAGTAAAACTGCAACAATCCCTAAGAGCACAATTACATAAGACACAACAAAACTAATATAGAAGATATCCATATCAATGAAATCATTGTCTTCTCCACTCAAAATCCTTGAACCTTTGGTCTGTATAGCGGTTGATTCAATTGCATTGCAACTTTGCGCAATGGTTGTCCACAAAGAAATGGATTCCCATAGCTACCTTCTTCAAAGGTTGAAAACTGCGCAATCATATCAGGGATTTTTCCTAATAAATATGGTGTGCCACACTGAAAACAGCCAAATTATTAACTCTACAAGCTGGGAGGGATTTTCCCACTCAAATTGTTATATGAAAGATCCAAACTCTCGACCTGCTTGAGATTTGAAAATGTCGGTGGATTGGTCCTTCAAGTTGTTGTGAGAGAGTTAAGTGCATGGATTCCAACAAGATTTCCAATTGATAGGGAATCACACCAACTAGCTTATTGCAAGAGAGATCAATCCCAGACATGTAGGTGAGAATTTTTCCTTGGTAAGAGTAAGATATATTCTTCGTTGTAAACTCTACAGTTTCTTCCTTTCTCATTGGAATTCATTTGGAGCCCCAGGAAATCACGTAAGGAATCAGAGCAACGTGACAATTGTGATATTTAACAAGGAGGGATATGTCCTGATAGCTTGTTGTGAGAAAGTTCTATCAAGCGTAATGACTTAACTTACACAAACGAATTGGCACTTCACCTTGAAAATTGTTATTACTCAAGATAAGGTAAGTTAAATTAGAAAACGTCCCAATCCAATCGGAATGTTGCCTTCAAAGTGATTATATCCGATATCTAGCGTCGTTGAGAAAGAACTATTGGAGAATCCATCATTCGTCGTCCCTGTAACTTATTTTTGACAATGAACTTGTTTAATTGATGAAGGGGAAAGCAAAATGGTAAACTCCCAGTAATATGTTCTTGAAGGTCTAATACTTCAAGACTTTCTAGTTGACAAAACTCTGTTGGGATTGACCTTCAAGAGATTATTTGATATTATAATATCTACCAATCTGACATATTTCCTAACCACCTGGTAATGGGCCAACAGATGGTTATCACTTATATACAACCCTCCAAGGAGCAATCAGACAACTATCAGGATCTTTTCCTGTGAAATTATTGCCATCCAATTGCAACTTTAACAAGTTTTTTAGGTTAAAATTTGCAGGGAATATTTCACCTTGGAGGCTATTATTTGACAATACAAGGAATTGTAGTGAGAAACAACCCATGGCCAAATGATGAGGAATTCCTCCAATCAAGAAATTGTTGGACATATCCAAACTTTCCAATGAGTTCATATCACCAAATGAAGAGGGAATGCTACCATTTAAAGCATTTCTAGACATGTTTAAAGTTTTTAGCACTGGTAGATAATCTCCAATTTCCGTTGGAATATGCCCATGGAGGAAATTGATGGATATATCTAATTCTTCCAAAGACAAGTGAGGATGAATTGGTAATTGCAAAGGCCCTGAAAGAGAATTGTTAACTAGACAAAGTTTTTCTAGCTTGGCATTGTTGTTTAACAACCAAACTGGAAACTTTCCCGTCAAATTAATGTTTGAGAGATCAACTTCTTGTAAGGCATGCTGACTGTAGAGGAATTTGGGGAACGAATCACTGAGGAATTTGGGAAATGAACCACTATATCCATAAGTGGGTAATACGATGGAATTTAATTGAAAATTTGGAGTCATGAAATGTGACTCAAATCCTCCATAGATCTCATTATTCTCACCGTAAAAGATCTTGAGTTGTGAATGGTTAAAAAATGGTTCAAGTGAGATCGGGATTTGGAAATGATTGTCCGAAAGCCTTAACTCTTGGATGGATGTTAGCATCTTAAGAGGGGATGAGGAGATGTCTCCTGTAAAATGATTTAAAGAGATGTCTAATACTTGAAGGGAAGTCAAGTTTGCAAGACACGAAGGCAAGGTACCCCCTAAATCATTGTCTTCCATAAATAACTCTCGGAGATTTACCAAGTTGCAGATTCCTGCAATACAACATGTTCTTTTACAGTCACTTTAAAGCATAAGAAGATTATAATTGTGGAAACCATTACTCCATAAAATATATGCTTAATATTTTTTAACGTGTATATGTGTACTATCTTTCAAAGTCGACCTAAATTTAATCTATTAACTATAGATCCTTTGATTAATGAATCTATAAGTGTTATTTTTAAGGGTTGATTAGATATATTGTTCTTTTAAATCTAAGATAAAATAACATCTGCAAGTAATTTAATCTTTTCATACAATTTTATTATAGTTCATGACTTCATCATAGTAGTTCGCAATTCTATTTATTTATTTTAAAAAAGTTGTTAAAAGAGAGGGGCAATTGGTTTAATAAATTTAACGTGCAAGGAAAAGGAGAAGCTGTATACCTTCCTCAAGTACTGAGTCTGTGACATTACAACTGGATAATGATAAATGCGTGAGAGAAGTCAAGGATCCAATGTTTTGAGTAAAGTTGAGAGCAGTGAAATCCGTTACAGTTGGCAAATCTACAAACATTACACAAAAATATTGATATAATGAGGTTAAAGAAGATATATCCTATAAGGTAAATTGGATACTAAATCCAATGGCATAGTTCAAATCAATACTAGTATTTATATATAAATAAAGTAAAAATAGATGATTCAGATGATGCTACGGTTTAATGACAACCAACTTTGTTTTAAGTTATTAAGATCATATGAAAATATATGAATGAAGTTGGAAGATACACTAACAATAACCCAAATAGTTGATCAACTCATGTTTGGTTATGACTAGTGTTATATCATATTTAAGGTACAAAATTTTGCTGAGATTTTATGTAATTTTATTTTACTTTAATCACTAATCAGTTCGTTCGATCAGTATTATACTCCTAAGAAAACATTTAGATTTTATAATCTTTTCCTAAATATTTTGGACAATTATCTCATTCCTTAGAGACTTTCTAGTATAAAACTAATTGAATGTCCCAAACAAATTAACTAATCTTCTAAATTATAATTTTTATCATTATTAATATTTTAGATAATAATATAAATGTATTTTAATTTTAATTTTAACATTATAATCAAACATTTAATGAAGAATAATAATCAATTCGAATATTTATATTCTAGAAAACATGTAAACCTAGTTAAAAGCAGGACGAAGCCAGGGGGTCACTTGACCTCCTCAACTTTGGAAAGTTTCCTATTATTATCATCTTATATCATAATAATAGGCAATTGATTGCATGAGTTACAAATTTTCAATGAAACAATTAATTAACATAGGAGAGGGAAAAAGTTACTAACCTTGATTAATAACGTGTTCTTGAGGTTACAATTGGAAATTGATAAAGACTCAAGAGAAGTCATGCTCCCAAGCATTTGAAGAGATTTATTGCTGAAAGTACTGTAGCTACGTCCAAGTATGTCAAATTCTTGAAAGTGGGCATTCTAAGTAAAGCAAAAGAATATATAAGTGGAAATATATAAAGATATACCATAAACTAAATTAATGTTTTATTATATTTAACAAAATTAATTTAAAAAAATAAAGCCTGATCAAACAATATTGGACAATAAGATATGAATGATCTATGAGACTAGAGTCAATCCAGCATTTCATATTCTGAATTAGGTTTGGACTATCCCTTCCAAAACCCTTTTGGGACAAGTTATCTCATGGTACTTATAAACTCTTAGTGTAAGATTAATTGAATGTCCCAAACCAATTAACTAATATTTATAAATAGAAATTGTTATCATTATCAATATTATAAATAATAATATAAATTTTATTTTTAAATTATAATCAAATAATTATGAATAATACTAGACGTAAATTAATGTATACTAAAGGTTGTATAAATGATTTGTTATATAAGTAACATTATTCAAAATAATATTAAAAAGCGTTCCATTCTAAATTTAGGCATATGCCATAAATAAGAAATGTCTTAATTTATTAAAAAGCATAATCTTGTGAATATTATAATGTTGCAGTTGATAGAAGCGATTTCATTTATTAATCAAGTTCATGCATGAATAACAAGCAGCTTGGTTGCAAATATGTTTTAATTTAGCTAGTCAAGATAATTATGTTTATAGTCAACCAAAATACATGACATTGTTTAATTTCCAATTACAAATAATTTAAGTTGTAAGGAGAGGGAAAAGTTACTAACCTTGGTCAAATAAAGTGTCGTTGAGGTTACTTTCATAAATTTGAATTGATTGAAGAGAAGTCATGGCTCCAATCATTTGAAGAAAGTTGTTGTGTAAAAATAGTGTCCTCGATGGTTAATTCTATCAATTCTTGAATGAAGGCAATTCTACAAAAGCACAAAAGTAATTTTATTCTCCCCTTGAGATTTATGGAACATCATACATACAAACTCGATCACCTCAAAAGTTATATCAAGTTTTTTCTATTATCGTTGGTTATTGTAATTTAAAATTTTGTATTTAGAGACAAAAAATTTGAAATTTAACAACTTATAGTTAAGTTAGCAGAAAAGTTTTGAACTTTGGCCCTTGTTAATTAATTAGATAGCTACTTTTTATAGGAGGCCTGTTATTTTTCTATTTATACATTTGACACTTTAGTGCCGTAATAATGTTTAATTTCCTGATTAAAAATTAAAATTTTGCTTGTAAGGAGATGAAAAAGTCATTAGGAAGATTATCAATTTAAGACCACTTATTTAAAATACAATAAGGGAAAGACGTAAGTTATAAAACTTGATTAAAAACGTCACTTAACACCTAAATCTTGTTTAAATAATTTTTTTTAATGACATTTACTGGAAAACCTTTATTAAAACTTAGTAACTTATCAAAATATAAAAAACTAATATAACTCTGACAGAAGGATATTTTTATTTTCTATAAATTAATAATAATTGTAAATAATAATTTTCTTTTACTCTAAAAAATTACTTTTTTTTTTTTAATGAAATGGGGGTTAGTTTTATATTTCTGATATTGGCGGTGCTTACATATTTTATGAAAACTATGGGGGTTTAGTAATAAATCCCTAAAGTAGTTATAAAAGTATTGAAAAGAGTCAACTGCTAATTTACAAATTACTATTAATAGGTTATGCTGATTTAATTGGAAACTAAAAATTAATTAAACTTGTAAGAGGAGAGAAGTATTAACCTTGCTAAGTAACGTGTTTTGTTAGATTACAATCGGATAGAGATAGACTCCCGGGAATTGCACGATCCATTGAGTATCGTAGGGAAGTTGTTGAGAGCCATGCTAACAAATCCACATCTTTCAAACTCTTGAAAGCAGGCAAAACTGTGAACAATATTACTCAAAAATGCAGGATGTTAATTGAATGTCTTGTTAGATAATATGGGATATATATGATTAATCTAGAATTCTAATATGCAGACGAATTCATGCTCCTAACAATTTTATACGTAATTTGTGGGATAAGTTATTTTCTAGAGAAAAACTAGTATACAAGTTAAAAACAAGTCAATTGGTAAGGAGAAAGAGAAGTATTAACCTTGCTCAAGTAATGTGCTTGTAAGATCACAATCATAAAGCCGTAGAGTCTCAAGAGAATTCAACGATCCGTTTAACAATGGAATCAAGTTTATTATGAGAGCGTTCTTTTAATTTCCAAAAGTTTCAATTCTTGAAAGTAGGCAAACCTGCAAACATTACTCAAAAAAATATAATGAATTGAAGGAGATACTATATACTGAATAGCTATTACGATTAAAAGTCTAAAAATGGGGCATACTTTTTGATAGACAATACTAATCTATGAGACTACACATATAGAATTTCATTTGGCATTTTCTTATGAGCATTCAAAATCTGAACCAAGTTTTATATACAACTTTTTTTTTTTTTTTTTTTATGTAGAAGTTTTTACGACTATTAAAATATTGAGATAATTATAAAGAGGATATTTCTTACTTGTCCCAAAAAAAAAAAAAAAAAGTTATTAATAGCAAAATGAATTGATAATACTAGCAACAAATACTGTATATATGATAGTTGTATTTTTATTATACTCTATGTATAATAGAAAAAGAAAGAAAAATATTTTTAATTTCTTATCAATAGTATAGATAGAATAACCCTTGGTAAATAAATGTAGTTTACCAATTCAAAGGATATAATTTCATTACAGTAGTTCATAATATTAATTTATCTATAATTAATTAATTAATTAATTAAATTATAAGAGCGATATTAATTAGAAGAGAGGCAAAGTGTAAATTAATAATTTACTAATTTAGATTAAAATCCAATAAAATTTAATTCAACTTGTGAAGAGAGTGGAAGTTACTAACCTGGATAAAGTAGTGTGTCTTTGAGAGTACAATCCCACGTTGTTAAATCCCGAAGAGAAGTCATGGCCCCAATGATTTGATAAAAGTTATTGTTGAACACAGTCTCAGACATCCACAAACTTTCCAAATTCTTGAAAGTCAGCATATCTATTAATCATCATATAAAAAAATGAAGAAGAAGAAGTTAAAAGAAGATAAATGGGATGTACGCCCAATTCAGTGCACCTCATTGTTAATTACTAACATTTAATTTAATTTATTGTCCCAAAATTAATCAGATGGTTGCCCATGAGACACCTTAATTTAAACCAATTGAAATCCTCCAACTAAAGATCTAATATTCTAAATATAATAAATTTATATTATTATGAATATAGGTTAGGCTATATAACAACCTAAAATTCTTGATTTTAATTTTTTATACTAAATAATAGTTACTCTTCCGTTAAGGAGTTACTTTTACCTCCTTCAGTCCATTAGATTACTTTTATTCTATCATAAAAAATTAGTGTTGTTGTGCCTCAGGAAATAAAGGGCTGACGTGGGAAGAGTCACGCGAAGGGTGACCTGCTCCCGTCAGAACGGCACGCACACGTCAGACCTGCCAAGTGATGTGGAGCCCACACGCGTCCATTCTCTTGCCACAAGTCGTGCGATGTCAGCTTGGAAAAGGGGAAATGGGACATAAAGCCGGATTACATACTGACAATCACACCAAACTACGGATTTAGTGGTGATTATACGCTTCGGTTCAGTATAAAAGGGGGAGGACCCCTTCATTATGGGGATTCGGCCATTTTACATACAAAAAGAAAGAGAACAAACGGAAATCTCTTTCTTATAAACTTTGCTTTGACTTTTTCGTCTGATGTAAGTCAGCTCGCGACCGCGACCTGACACCCACTACTATCAATACAAATCAGTGGACGTAGGACTTGCTATCTTAGCGTCCGAACCACTTAAAAAGACTCCCTCTACAGTCATTTTACTTTTCATATATTCCAGTTTTACGTGCATCGAACAGTTAATTGATATTATACACATAAAGATTCGTTGGTGTAAGAATCAGCATCAACAAGTGTCACTATTTAAATCAAGAATTTAAACTACCATAATCTGACATATGACATTAATATTATTATAAATAATAAATGAATGATGTATCAATAAACATTTCAGTTGAACACTACAAAGAAAAATATATTAATAATTAGCCTGAATTAATATTATAAACAAATTCTAGTCTTTTGATTTAGAATTGGTTTTCTTAATATTAACCTTCAAGTTTATAATTGAATAAACAAATATTTAGTTTCACTTTTAAATTTTTTTACATAGAGTGTATACTTTATACTCATAAAGATATATAAGATATATTTATAATTTTTTTAATTTAGCGCATAATGAACATTTATTTGATAAAAAGATTTTAAAATTCTTTTAAAACTGCTTAAAAATACATGAGATTATTAATTTCCAAGTGAAAATCAATTTAACTTGTAAGGAGAGGGAAAAGTTACCAAGTTTGGTCAAATAGAGTGTCGTTGAGGTTACTACTAATAATCTCCATAGATTGAAGAGAAGTCATACTCTTATTAAAAATGCCACTTAACACCTAAATTTTTGTTAAAATGAACTGTTTTAATAACATTTACTCTAGTGCCCTTATTAAAAACATAAAAAGACTAACATAACCTTGACAAGTGACAAGAAAGAATATTTTTATTTTGTCATTAATTTATAAAAACTGTAAAATAATATTTTTCTTTTCCTCGAAAAATATTTTCTTATTATCGTTGGTTATTGTAATTTAAAAATATTTGTATTACAGATAAAAATAAATTTGAAATTTAACAACTTATAGTTAAGTTAACAAGAAAAGTTTTGAACTTTGACCCTCGTTAATTAATTAGATAGCTACTTTTTATAGAAGGCTAGTAATAATGTTTAATTTCTTGATTAAAAGTTATAAATTTTACTTGTAAGGAGATGAAAAAGTTACTAGGAAGATTATCAATCTAGGACCACTTATTTTAAATACAATAAGGGAGAGACGGTAAGTTATAAAACTTGATTAAAAATGTCACTTAGCACCTAAATCTTGTTTAAATTAATTTTTTTAATGACATTTACTGGAAAACCTTTATTAAAACTTAGTAACTTATCAAAAATATAAAAAGACTAACATAACTCTGACAAGAAAGGATATTTTTATTTTCTATAAATTAATAATAATTGTAAATTAATACTTTTCTTTTCCTCTAAAAGAGTTACTTTTTTTTTTTAATGAAATGGGGGTTAGTTTTATATTTCTGATATTGGCGGGAGCTTAGATATTTTATGAAAACTATGGGGGTTTAGTAATAAATCCCTTAAAGTAGTTATAAAAGTTATTGAAAAGAGTCAACTGCTAATTTATAAATTACTTATTAATAGGTTATGCTTGATTTAATTGGAAACTAAAAATTAATTAAACTTGTAAGAGGAGAGAAGTATTAACCTTGCTCAAGTAATGTGTTTGTTAGATTAAAATAGGACAGAGATAGACTCTCAAGGGAATTGCACGATCCATTGAGTATCGCAGGGAAGTTGTTGAGAGCCATGTCGCCCAAACTCACATGTTTCAAACTCTTGAAAGCAGGCAAAACTGTGAACAATATTACTCAAAAAATGCAGGATGTTAATTGAATGTTCTTGTTAGATAATATGTGATATATATGATTAATCTAGAATTCTAATATGCAAATGATTCATGCTCCTAACTAATTTTATGCCTAATTTGTGGGACAAGTTATTTTCTAGAAGAAAACTAGTTATACAAGTTATTAAAAACAAGTCAATTGGTAAGGAGAAAGAGAAGTATTAACCTTGCTCAAGTAATGTGCTTGTAAGATTACAATCATACAGATTTAGAGTCTCAAGAGAATTCAATGATCCGTTTAACAATGGAATCAAGATATTATTGAGAGCAATTCCTTCAATGGCCAAAAGTTTTAAATTCTTGAAAGTAGGCAAACCTGCGAACATTACTCAAAAAAATATAATGAGATTGAAAGAGATACTATATACTAAATAGCATATTACGTTAAAAGTCTAAAAATTGGTGCATATTTATTTTGATAGACAATATCACTAATCTATAAGACTACATATTAGAATTTCAATTTGGCATTTTCTTATGTAGTAGTTTTTACGACTATTAACCTTTTGGTCTGTAATGGTGATTCAATGCATTGCACTTTTGCGCAATGGTTTTGTCCACAAAGAAATGGATTTCCCTCATAGCTACCTTCTTCAAAGGTTGAAAATTGCGCAATCATATCAGGGATTTTTCCCGATAAATTATTGTGTGCCACACTGAAAACAGCCAAATTATTTAACTCTACAAGCTGGGGAGGGATTTTTCCACTCAAATTGTATATGAAAATCCAAACTCTCGACCTGCTTGAGATTTGAAAATGTCGGTGGTGGTCCTGTCATTTGTTGTGAGAGAGATTAAGTGCATGGATTCCACAAGATTTCCAATTTGATAAGGATCACACCAACTAGCTTATTGCAGGAGAGATCAATCCAGACATGTAGGTGAGAATTTTTCCTTGGTAGAGTAAGATATATTTTCGTTGTAAACTCTACAGTTTCTTCCTTTCTTAGAGATTCATATGGGCCCCAGAAAATCACGTAAGGAATCAGAAGCAGCAGTGACAATTGTGATATTTAAACAATGAGGGAAATGTCCTGATAGCTTGTTGTGGAAAGATCTATCAAGCGTATTTGACTTAACTTACACAAATGAATTGGCACTTATCCTTGAAAATTGTTATTACTCAAGATAAGGTAAGTTAAATTAGAAAGCGTACCAATCCAATCGGAATGTTGCCTTCAAAGTGATATATCCGATATCTAGCGTCGTTAGAGAAGACTATTGGAGAATCCATCATTCATCGTCCCTGTAACTTATTTTTTGACAAATGACTTGTTCAATTGATGAAGGGGAAAGCAAAATGGTAAACTCCCAGTAATATTGTTCTCTGAAAGGTTTAATACTTCAAGACTTTCTAGTTGACAAAACTCTGTTGGGATTGGACCTTCAAGATGATTATTTGATATATAATATCTACCAATCGACATATTTCCTAACCACCTTGGTAATGTGCCAACAAGATGGTTTATCACTTATAACAACCCTTCCAAGGAGCAATCAGACAAACTATCTGGGATCTTTCCTGTGATTATTGCATCCAATTGCAACACAACAACTTTTTTAGGTTAAAATTTGCAGGGAAAATTCTCCCTTGGAGGCTATTATTTGACATACAGGAGTTGTAATGAGAAACAACCCATGGCCAATGATGAGGAATTCCTCCATCAGAAATTGTTGGACAGTCCAACTTTCCAATGATTTCATATCACCAAATGAAGAGGGAATGCTACATTTAAAGCATTTCTTGATATGTTTTAAGTTTTAGCATTGGTAGATAAGCTCCAATTTCATTTGGATATGCCCATGGAAGGAATTGACGGATTATCTAATCTTCCAAGACAAGTGAGGATGAATTGGTAATTGCAAAGGCCCTGAAAGAGTTGTTAACTAGATAAGTTTTTCTAGCTTGGTATTGTTGTTTAACAACCAAACTGGAACTTTCCCGTCAAATTAACGTTTGAGAGATCAACTTCTTGTAAGCATGCTGACTGTAAGGAATTTGGGAAATGACCCACTATATCCATAGCGGGTAATACGATGGAATTTATTGAAAATTTGAGTCAGGAAATGTGACTCAAATCCTCCATAGATCTCATTATTCTCACCGTAAAAATCTTGAGTTGTGAATGGTTAAAAAAGGTTCAAGTGAGATCGGGATTTGGAAATGTTGTCCGAAAGCCTTAACTCTTGGATGGATGTTAGCATCTTAAGAGGGGATGAGGAGATGTCTCCTGTAAAATGATTTAAAGAGATGTTAATACTTGAAGGGAAGTCAAGTTTGCAAGACACGAAGGCAAGGTACCCCCTAAATCATTGTCTTCCATAAGTAACTCTCGGAGATTTACCAAGTTGCAGATTCCTGCAATACACATGTTCTTTTACTCACTTTAAAGCATAAGAATTATAATTGTGGAAACCATTACTCGATAAAATATATGCTTAATATTTTTTAACGTGTATATGTGTACTATCTTTCAAAGTCGACCTAAATTTAATCTATTACTATAGATCCTTTGATTAATGAATCCATAAGTGTTATTTTAATGAATCATTGGTTATATTTGTTAAAGGGAGAGCCAATTGGTATAATAATTTAACGTGCGAAAAGGAGAAGCTATTACCTTCCTCAAGTACCGGTTTTGTGACATTACACCTGGATAATGATAAAGACGTGAGAGAAGCCAAGGATCCTGTTTTTGAGTGAATTTGTTGAGAGCAGTGAAATCCATTACAGTTGGCGAATCTACAAACATTACACAAAAATATTGATATAATGAGGTTAAGAAGATATGTCCTATAAAGCAATTGATACTAACCCATGGCATAGTTCCACAATTACGTAATTTATAATATAAATAAAGAAAAATAGATTGATTCAGATGATGCTACGGTTTAATGACAACCAACTTTGTTTTTAAGTTATTATCAATGAAAATATAATGAATGAAGTTGAAGAAGATACACTACCAATACCCAAATAAGTTGATCAACCTCATGTTTGGTTAATGACTAGTGTTTATATCATATTAAGGTACAAAATTTTGCTGAGATTTTATGTAATTTTATTTTACTTTAATCACTAATCAGTTCTTTCGATCATATTTATCTCCTAAAAAAACATTTAGATTTTATAATCTTTCCTAAATATTTTTGGACATTATCATTCCTTAAGAGACTTTCTAGTATAACTAATTGAATGTCCCAAACAAATTAACTATTCTTCTAAATTATAATTTTTTATCATTATTATATTTTATAATAATATAAATGTTAATTTTAATTTTAATTTTAACATTATAATCAAACATTTAATGAAGAATAATAATCATTCGAATATTATTATATTCTAAGAAAACATGTAAACCTAGTTAAAAGCGGGACGCAGCCAGGGGTCACTTGACCTCCCAACTTTGGAAAGTTTCCTATTATTATCATCTTATATCATAATAATAGGCAATTGATTGCATGATTACAAATTTTCAATGAAACAATTAATTAACATAGGGAGGGAAAATTTACTAACCTTGATTAATACGTGTTCTTGAGGTTACAATTGGAATTGATAAAGACTCAAGAGAATCATGCTCCCAAGCATTTGAAGAGATTTTTATGCTGAAAGTACTGTAGCCTACGTCCAAGTATGTCAAATTCTTGAAGTGGGCAATTCTAGTAAAGCAAAAGAAATTATAAGTGGAAATATTAAAGATATACCATACAACAATTAATGTTTATTATATTTAACAAATTATTAAAAAATAAAAGCCTGATCAAACAATATTGGACAATAAGATATGAATGATCTATGAGACTAGAGTCAATCCAGCATTTCATATTCTGAATTAGGTTTGGACTATCCCTTCCAAAACCCTTTTGGGACAAGTTATCTCATGGTACTTATTAAACTCTTTAGTGTAAGATTAATTGAATGTCCCAAACCAATTAACTAATATTTTATAAATTAGAAATTGTTATCATTATCAATATTATAATAATAATATAATTTTATTTTTAAAATTATAATCAATAATTAATGAATAATACTAGACGTTAAATTAATGTATACTAAAGGTGTATAAATGATTGTTTTATAAGTAACATTATTCAAAATTTAATATTAAAAGCGTTCCATTCTAATTTAGGCATATGCCATAATAAGAAGTCTTAATTTATTCAAAAGCATAATCTTGTGAATATTATAATGTTTGCAGTTGATAGAAGCGATTTCATTTATTAATCAAGTTCAGCATGAATAACAAGCAGCTTGGTTGCAAATATGTTTTAATTTAGCTAGTCCAAGATAATTATGTTTATATGTCAACCAAAAATACATGACATTGTTAATTTCCAATTACAAATTAATTTAAGTTGTAAGGAGAGGGAAAAGTTACTACCTTGGTCAAATAAGTGTCGTTGAGGTTACTTTCATAATTTGAATTGATTGAAGAGAAGTCATGGCTCCAATCTTTGAAGAAAGTTTTTGTGAAAAATAGTGTCCTCGATGGTTATTTCTATCAATTCTTGAATGAAGGCAATTCTACAAAAGCACAAAGTAATTTTTATTCTCCCCTTGAGATTTATGGAACATCATACATACAAACTCGATCACCTCAAAAGTTATATCAAGTATTTTTCATATTATCGTTGGTTATTGTAATTTAAAAAATTTGTATATAGACAAAATAAATTTGAAATTTAACAACTTATAGTTAAGTTAGCAGAAAAGTTTTGAACTTTGGCCCTTGTTAATTAATTAGATAGCTACTTTTTATAGGAGGCCTGTTACTTTTTCTATTTATACATTTGACACTTTAGTGCCGTAATAATGTTTATTTTCCTGATTAAAAATTTAAATTTTGCTTGTAAGGAGTGAAAAAGTCATTAGGAAGATTATCAATTTAAGACCACTTATTTAAAATACAATAAGGGAAAGACTGTAAGTTATAAAAACTTGATTAAAAACGTCACTTAACACCTAATCTTGTTTAAAATTTTTTTTAATGACATTTACTGGAAAACCTTTATTAAAACTTATACTTTCACAAAATATAAAAGACTATATAACTCTGACAAGAAGGATATTTTTATTTTCTATAAATTAATAATAATTGTAAATTAATAATTTTCTTTTACTCTAAAAAAATTACTTTTTTTTTTTAATGAAATGGGGGTTAGTTTTATATTTTCTGATATTGGCGGTGCTTACTATTTTATGAAAACTATGGGGTGTTTAGTAATAATCCCTTAAGTAGTTATAAAAGTTATTGAAAAGAGTCAACTGCTAATTTACAATTACTTATTAATAGGTTATGCTTGATT